TGCACATTACTTTTTCCTTATCATTTTCTTTCGCTATATTTTAGTCTAAGGTTGAGTGAGAATTCACATCAAATCTTATATATTCGAGTTTTGATGACAGTCTCTGTTTGTAATATACCCCAGAAAAACTCACATCATTTTTGGTTTTGTGTGAGACGAATGGAGACTCGTCATTATGATAATTTTTATGATAACGAATCGCTTTATTGCTCAAATTCTTGTAATGGAGACTCGTATAGGATCAAATATTATCTTATTTTTATGTAATTAAGATGAATGTTTATGACAATTTTTCAATTTTAACTCGTTTTTTTATCTTGTATTCTTTTTATGTACTTATGTTGTTGGTCCTAACTTTTAAACATGGAAGAGAGCCACATGAACAAACCCTACATAAAAACAGTTCAAGAAATATAGAAAACACAAAATACCCAACAAAACACGGAACACAATAAACTGATAATGCAAAAAAAAAAAAAAAAAAAAAAAAAAAAAAAAAAAAAAAAAAAAAAAAAAAAAAAAAAAAAGAGTAAATCGAAAGGATTAAGAGAATAAGAACACAACAATTTACATGGTTCAATCAATGTAGCCTATATTTATAAGATAAAGCAACTTCCATTATATAAAAAATAAAAATAAAAATTATGTATTTCTTTCATGTTATTTACACTTACGTCCTTAAGTCTCTCACTTTTAATTTTCACGCGAAAACTAAAACTCTATAAGGTTGGACAGACTAAATTTATCAAACTAATAAAGATAAGGCTAAACAAATTATACCTTTAAATCTATAAAAATTAAGTAGACTACTAAAAATATAGAACATATATCTTAAGTCACAAAGAACATGTGTCTTTATAACTGGCACCTGCAAATTAATAAACCAAGACTCCTAGACCGTTGATTCGTACGTATAAACTAAAGAAATGGGCATGTTGATATATAAATGAATTAACCGAAACTAAAATGCTAATGCAAGAACAAGTGAACAAGTAGTGTGGTCTAAGATACGTGAATAATATAGATGAAAGATGACTAATTAGAAGCATGAATATAAGAAAAAAAAAGGAGATTCTATTCGTGTGAATCCAATTATTTATGAAAAGTTATAGTTCATGCAATATAGTCATGAAATTCAAATTGAGAAATCTATTCAAGTTGGATAAAAAGAGGATGGTATTATATGAGAAGTAAAAAAGGGATAAGCGAATGGACCTTAAGCAAGATTATTATTATATAAAGAAAGATATTCTCGAGGGCTTTGCGGAAAGCCGAGGAAAGGTACGTCTACGGGTCGAAGGAATTTGCATATAAATGAAATTGGTGAGGACTAGACTTGTTCATTAAATATGAAAGTATATTACAAATATATAACAGTATTATGCTACTAAAAAATTCCCTGTTTCAGTTGAGGATAGATTCTAAGCATCCTAAAAAACTAACTAACTCAATTATTATTCACTGTTTTTATTTTATATTCATAGCCAGCTGTTTGCATATATTTAGTCTATGCTCCTGTGTGGGAGAGTGCATAACTTTCTGCATGCTTCACCTTTCAACCCGTTTCTGCTTCTTAATCAAGTTCGATTATCAAATTGATTAGAGTTTGAAGTTTGAACCGTATTAACTCCAATATCCCTCCAAATTAATGTCTGTTTGGACTTTGGATGGCCACTGAAATAATATTTTAGGAGACTGAATATATAAAATTAATTTTGAAGTTAGTAAAAATTAAATGTTTTATTTCTCATTGATAAGAATTGATTTTAATTGTAAGACTCACAATACATACTTATATTTAAACTTTAAAATTGATCAGAAAAAATATTTAAAATTTAAAAAAGCAATTTTATTTTACTATCTAAGCAACATCAGTTCTTCTAAATTTACTTTTAAAATATTATTTAAAACACGTTGTTTTTCCAAAATCTAAAACAAATAAACCCTTAATTGACAAGTTTCATCAAATATAAGATCCAAATTGTCCAAGTACTTAAAACTTTCTGTTAAAAGAAAGCATGAACTTTATTTTAATTGCTTCATATAATAATTAAAGTTGTATTTAATTATTCATTACAAAGTTTTGAAATACTTATTTTCACTTTTTAATGTGTGGAATATAAAAGTAACAAAGTTGTTAATTCAAAATTAACTTAAATTACATTGAACTAAACTTTTATTTAGACATATACTAAATAGACCAATCCAAACTAATATGGGATAACAAATTTAAAATTAGTATTTATGTAAACATGTATCTATTTTATCTTCTATCTCGTTTCTATTATATTTTTTATCTTTTTTTTTTTTTTATCACATCACTTATCACTTATTATATCTACTATTTTTCTTTCAATATTATTTTTCTTCTTATTTTGCTCTTCTTTCCACTTCAATCCATCTAAAATGGAATGGATATTTACATGTATTCATTTGGATTGGAATTTTTATCATCCGACCGTAACCAAATTTGAACATTTTACCAATTAAATTCCTTCAAAATTGACCAGATTCAACTTGTGAACGCATTCAATTAAAAAAAAAATACAAATCATGTAACTGACAAGCCTATGAAGAATGTGAGTTTCAATATATGGTTGATAAATTAGCTGAATATTGTACATCATATCATACCAATGTATCATCATACGGATAATATGGCGACCCAGGACCAGAGTGTATATTTGATAGTTGTACACAGAATGAGCACTTGATCAGTTTGACCATAGATAAGAATAAATTTGCATATAATTAAATGAATATATAATAGCATCTGAAGAATAAGAGAGAGTGGAGGATGGAATAGAATCACGTTGGTCGGCCTCTATTGAAAAGATGAACTTGTTGTAAAGAGAAGAAAAAGCTACACTAATTCAGAGTATTGGCGAAGACTGGAATTTTGAACATTACGTTAAAATAATTGTTGACTCACCATTATTGTTGTGTCAACAGAAAGTAAACTAACTACGTCAAACATCGTTGTCTAAACAAAATTCTGCACTTAAATTAGGTCGTGACACTGAGGTTTTGAGTTTTGTTGCAAAGTTCATGTATCTTTGTTTTTCTTCCCGCACTACAAAAAATGTAACATTAAGTGACATACAAAAAGTATAACTATAGGTATAATATATGTAAGTATATATCTATTTGACATATAGGTACGTATAATTTAAGTGTTGATTTTGAATGTGATTTAACAACATATTTTGTATATCACTATAGTTTATATCAACATTTTTTAACAATATATCAACATATATTGTATTTAATGTGTGAGTAAAAGTATTTTTTAGTGACATGTATTGTGTCACGATATGACAATTTTCTTGTAGTGCCCTTTTGTATTTACGTGCATTTAGTGCACTTAGCAACTTCAATCTTGATGTGTTTTTTAAATCTTTAAATATATGAATATAAGATATTATGATAAGATAAAATCCGGTTCTTATATACAAGTTAGATGTCGGCAAGTCAGGTTACGAGAAGTTTCATGTGATTGTATAGTATAGATAGTTAAAACATGGTATCATGTGATGTATATATTGTTCCGATATTGGGAACCCTCGCTAGATAACCCTTAGCGATACAAGTATTAAGAAGGTTTAGCAACTATCCTAGTCTAGAACATTTGATAAGTGTGACATGTCTCTCTATATATTGGTGCAACGTTATAGAGACGAAATCTTGTCCTACTTGCTATGATTTCCTCAATTGCATTGTGTCATTATTGCTTTTAATAAGTCCATGATCCTGACATTTATAGTCATTATCTTGTCTATTTTGAGAATCGTGAGATTTTGTATCATTTATTGTTTGACTGAGAAAGAAGACACTCGACCAAAATCAGAGGACCTTGACTTGGGTGTTCGACTCCTAGCCATTGATGAGTGAGGGTAGAGTCGCCTTATGACTAAGGCTTAGGTATCATTAGAAGTGGTTTGATCAATGAGAAACCACAACGTTACATAGATAGATGGACAAAAATTTGCATAGAGCAAGGAATATTTAATTGTAACAATGTCTCTTTTAAAAGTTATTAAAGATTATAGTAGTGTAATTTTAAATTTATTGCTCTTTTATTGGATGAAATTTATCATAATAAAAAAGGATAAGAGAATGGATTGACTTAATATTGTTCTTCTAATCAAATTACTCTTTTTGCATATTAATCGAAGAAAATATTAAATAAAAAATCAATATATTTAATATCTAACATAGTACTAAAATGAGGAAGCAGGATCAAATAGATCGAATAGGAACTCATAATTAGATTAGGAAACTGGGAGACCAAGCTCCTTAAAAGGAAAGGCCCTTTGTTAAGACTGAAAATGCAAAAATAAATAAAAGATAACAAGGGAATTCTACATGTGCACAGAATACCCCAGGGACCCAACCCAGCCAAGAAACCTCTCCATTTTACTTAAATCTAGCCTACCATTCCCAGATCCTTCCCTCCCCTATTTTTATCTTGACTGCTAGCCAGTTACCTCCTTTTCCCATACACCTTGCCATGTAGGCAAGATTGTTACAGCACTTTACAGTCCAAATTCCTCTTCTTCTCCTTACTCACATTGCCCTCAAAGTAGTAGTGATGTGAGGCCAAACAGGATCAAAGATTCTAATGCTTAATTTACAGAAAATTTTACAATATTAACAAAGTAAGACAGGGCAAGAGAAAAATTCCTAAACATGGATTTGGAAGAGCAAATTTATTATACTGCAGCAATAGTTATGCTATATACCCAAACAGAGAATAATGTAACGCTGACTATTCCAAACCAAAATGAATTAAAAAGGAGAGAATTCAGTGAAGACAAGCATAACATCTTTGTATCTGACTTGTAAACAAGACTAGTGCATTTCATAGCAGCAGTAAATAGACAAAGAAAGCTTGTAAAAAATATATTGAAACTAAAACTTAAACCTCAATGCAGTTGTACATACATCATAAATAACCTTCGCAATAACATCTTTATAGGGAAGTAATTCGTCGTGTAGGTTTAAATGGGCAACTTGACCTGTATAAAGTAGGATATATGTTAGTTTACTATCAGCAACCAACCAAACAGATTTAATTGTTAACGAAAATGAACATCACTACACCCCTCTGAAGGAATCAATATTAAAGAATTAATAAATATATATTGAGTTTATAAAAAATATTATAAAAAAAAACAGAATTTGATTCAGCATTGTCTTGTATCTTGCATGTGTGACTAGCATCCAAAATGGGAACTTCGGGTGAGTGTTCTAATGTGGCCTCAGTATTTGGCACTTCCATCAACTGGGAGATGAATTTTCTAGCATCCATGTTGTATGCATAAATGCAATCATCAACCTTGTTGATTTTGGCATTAATCCTCAGATAGTGAATGCTATCTGGATTTAAATCATTCGCATAGACTATGCATCCTTTCTGTGCTGCAGGAATTGCAAACGGACCTATACCCGCAAACATGTCACAAATGGTCTCTCCAGCATGGAACATTGAGACTAACCTTTTGTGTTCATGTTCCAATCTTGAATTCCAATAAACCAAACTGTAATCAAGCTTAAAAGTGGCACCATATTGCTTCACTTCTGTAATCATGTTATGCTCTCCTGCTAAAACTTCAAACTCTGGCACACGAAATTCATTTGTAATGGTTCCAACTTTATTCACAATAGTTTTAATTCTTGGATAATTTTTCTGCATAAATAGAGAAAACAAAGAAAATAAATAGGAAGAACATGTATAATACAGCATGCTTAATGGTATAAAGATAGAATTAATGAATGAATCTTCAAATGGACATCTTTATAGCAATGCAAAGGGAGTGTTACTCAAACATGGATAGAATTCATGAATGAATATTCACATCTTCATAGCAATGCATTGCAAAGGTCAAAGGGCATGTTACTCAAACATAAATGCAGACATCAAGGTAACCTCTTAATCTGTAGAATAACATCATTCATTTTGCTTCAAACATACATGAAACAACACAGATATACATGCCAGTAACATAGTACTAAAATGAGGAAGCAGGATCAAATAGATCGAATAGGAACTCATAATTAGATTAGGAAACTGGGAGACCAAGCTCCTTAAAAGGAAAGGCCCTTTGTTAAGACTGAAAATGCAAAAATAAATAAAAGATAACAAGGGAATTCTACATGTGCACAGAATAACCCAGGGACCCAACCCAGCCAAGAAACCTCTCCATTTTATATATATATATATATATATATAATATTACCATATTTAGTGATTAGGAATATTTGTAGGATGATATAGAATCAATGTTATTTGAATAAATTTAAAAAGAAAATTTGTATTTTTGATACACTACTGTAATTATAAGAAACTTATTGAAAAACTAAAAAGAACTTAAAAAAAAGTTATAAACTGATTTTTTAAGTTTAAATAAGCTTCTCATAAGTTTTTTTCAAAATAAATGTTTTCTTAGTAAGACTAATGAATTCAATCTAATAAAATAGCTAGAGTGTTAAATTAATTACTAGCATTGTTCTTAAAAAATTATGAAGTTGGCACAATATTTAAAATAAATGTTGAAAGTCGTCTATTTGTTTTCTTTAACAATATTCAATTATGGTACAATAAATTGTTGATATTTGAAAAAGGCTTTTCCACGCTTTCAATTCATGAATGGATAATATTAATTAATAATCAGGAGCTTTATTACATTCCGTATTTAAATGGTTATTAATATTTTTTTTCGGGTAACTGTTATTGTTTTTTAATCTGGAATCCTTAGTATTTCAAGATTATTTTAAACTTTGACTAATTCAAGTTAAGTCCGATGAATTTATTTATAAGATAAAATTTCCCTCTCTTAACCTGTTTATTTTTATTCACATAACTCAAATCAATACTTTACTTTAAAAAAAGTTTTACATTATTTACACCAACAAATATTGATTTATTGCCCTTCTTATTAATGAAGACATAAAAGTAAAATTTTAATGTCTAAAGCCCAATATACTGAAACTTTAATGTTCCTTACGTGAGCTTCGGTTTAATATGGACTACACGGTAAGAGATTTGAAATGGGTCTATTAAACTGAAGACTCATGATATATACACCTCCTTTTTTTAATAAGTATACTTCCTTTAAATTTTTTAAAAAATTATAAAATATTATAGTTTTTTTTTCTAAATTCTAATTTTATATTTTTAACTTTTAATTTGCTACTTTCTTCTTTTCTTCACATACCTTTTTTTCTTTTTTAATTTTTACATGCTACCAAAATAGGTGAGGTGAAGGAAAAGTAAGGGGGTGCATGTAAAAATTGAAAAAAAAAAAAAAAGAGATAAAATATGAAGAAAAAAAATATTAAATTAAATATTGTGGATGTAAAATTAAAAAATACAAAATGAAAAATTAAAAAAATTAAGAATATTTTAAATTTTAATTATTTTTTTAAAAAAAGGAGGTATACTTATAGAAAAAAGGAGGGAGGTGTATATATCATAAACCTAAACTGAATTGACACGGTCCAACTCAGAAAGCCCAAAAACAAAGTGAGGCCCATGAAATGAAGCACCTCACGTGAACAGCATCAGATATTTATTGAGTCTCTTACGTCTATGGCTGATACCCCAAATTAGTACTCCACAAGGCACAAGTAAAGATATGTGCCATGTTGGTCCCAAGTCTTTTTACAGATCTCCACTGGTACGTGCTTCCTTTCTTTTAAAGCAAGATATTTTTATGCATGATATTTTTCTCTTAATTTAAATAATAATAATAATAATAATAATAATAATAATAATAATAATAATAATAAACGACTACTAAATAAAGAAATGTAAGTTTTAAGAGAGTAAATAAGAAGACTACTAAATAAAGAAATACATACCAAGATCTCTAATGTCATCCTTCACATAATTTACATGCTTCGACAATTTAAAGTTACGTTTAGTAAAAATATCTTATAAGTACTAAAAAAAAAACTTGAAATTTTTTTAAACGTCTCGTAAAACACACTCAGCTAAGTGCTACTTGTGTTGTACTAATGGGTCAGTTCATGATTAGGCAGCTATATAACCAATGGACATGAGTAGCAAAGGCAAGAAATGATGAGTGGATTTTAGTGATTGTTACCCTTAACATTCAACTATATTCTAAAACTAGATGTTTTAAATTTTAATAGATGATGTTTTGGGTGGTTTTGTCATAAATTTGTATTTCATGATTGGTTGAGAGGGTGAATTGTTCTTACTAAGATAAACTTGAATGAAGAGATTATTTTGTAAGATCCTCTTTTGTACTTATGAATAAATGTTAAATTGTGTTGTTGTCTATTTTTATTTTAAGTAGTCGAGATACTTATAAAAAGGACTGGCAATTAAATTAGTTTCATTTGTCCAATATTCTTATCTATAGTAAGTACTGAATTCTTATACCGACTTAATTAATATAGATTATCATACAAGCTAGAGATTAGGACATCAACTCGATAATAAAAGTATATATCCTAAATTGCATCATCAAAAAAGTTAATACATGAATTATATAATTTTTAGGAGGATGTTAATTTATGCTATGATTATTGTCCTCCCATTCTTGTTAACTGTCATTGCATGCAGATACAACTGAAGTCTTACGATAGGATATATAGCTTTTGCATTGGTACAACTTTGAGTGTGGTTGTCTCAAGTAGCATTATAGATATGTTAGCAAATTTTTAGTGAAAATAAGACTCTCTCTTGAAGAAGATTATAACAATTCTCTCAATATCACTACTCTTAAGGGAAGAACTTGATTTTTTTCTTGGATAAAATCTATCCCTTTACAAGTCACCTTTTATATGATGAATGAATTATACTTCTTTTAAAGAAAGATGGTGAATGTTAAGCTCATGTTTGGAACTAAATCTATAATGCAAATTGTCACTCTCTCCATATTTATAAAAAAAAAATAATAATAATAACTTCTTCATTAATCGAATATTTTGTCATAATTATTATTATTGTCGTGATTTTGTTCAAACATATGTTCTAAATATTTTTCATATTTTCAAGTTTTCTAAAATGTATTCTTCATTTTTGAGTTAAATTTAGTAATTTAAGAGTCTAATGACTAGTTCCAAGATCTTGGAATGTCTTCATTAATTATTTTCCATGCAATATTAATTAACAATACTTGCGTGATGCCAATTAGTGATAGTACTTACTAATTGGAATTGAAAATAAATTCTGTAAAATAGATTTCTTATAGTAGTTACTTTTTTGTGTGTGTTTGGATTCGTGTATTGATCTATGTTTTCAAACAAAATCACGTCAATTTGATGGAGAAGCAAGTAATATTTGCTTCTTGTTTTCACGTCTTTTACGCAATTCAAGTGCTCTGGACGCGGAACCAAACATGTAGTTTGCCAAATCCTTGGTTTAAAATCTAAGTTTATTAACTAAATGATTACATTTCTAGAGCGACTACTGATTAGTAAATTCATCTTAATTAAAAGAGAAAGTTACATGGCATATTTTTATGAGAAGATGGTACCCAAATAATAGGACAATGAGGTATACATTGACAGCTCTAAGGTTGTGTTTGGATTGAAAGATGGATTTGGGGGAGTGAAAAAGGAAAGATTTGAAGAGAAAGAGAGTGGAAAGTTAGGTTGTTTGGATTAAGGAAAAGATAGTGGAAAGTGACTGGAAAGTTTGTGAGAATTTGTGTAGAAATTGATTGATGTGATAGATAAAAATTAAAAATTTAATAGATGAATATGTAATTTACACTTTTACTCTTGGATTAAAAATGAGTAGAATATTTTTTATTGTAAATAATAATAATTACAATAAAATTATATTAATAGGTATAATTTATTAAAAAAATAATAAATAATGATGATAATAATAATAAATATTATAAAAATAATAAGAATCATAATAAATAATAATGATACTAATTATAATAAATAATAATAATATTAATAATAATGATAATAATAATAATATTTATAATAATAAATAATAATAACAAAATATGCCACCATAATCAATTATGTGTCATGCATAATCGATTATGCTGGCTGGGAGTTCAGTTTTTCACCGCGATTTGCCCTCCATTCTTCATTCTCATACCTCGGCTACCCTCTCTCATGCATAAAGAAATGAAGCTTACCTACAATGGCTACCCCGTCGAGAATCACTGCAGCAACAACCACCCTTGCACGAGCACACAGCACACACAGAGCTTCCAAGTCTTTTATAAATGCGTCACTAGTGAGATCCATTCAGCCTCATTTCAAACGTGTCAGTGTACCATTCAAACGAATGAAAAAGGCCCGTGAACCATGGCAGAGATTCCTCTGCTGCATGGCACAGTCTCTGCATGCATGAGCATGGTAGAACTTCATCTCTTTTCAACTTTTGGGCAGGAGTATTATTGGGTTTTCTCATTTCTTACGTGACTTTCATCTCTTTTCTTCACAACTTCGCGAGGAACGACCACGTAGGTTCTCCCACTTTTCTTTGTTTTTCTTTCGGTGCAAATCAGCAGAAATAAACGTCAAGTTTCTTCACTTTTCGTTCGTCGTAAACAGTAAATCCCCTGAAACAAACAAGACTAAGAGTCAAAATTCCTTCCCTCCATTGCAGGCATGAATCTATATCAGTTCAAAGAATCTTCTATTTCCAAATTCATCTCGAAAATAGCTTTCTATAAATTATATACAAAGCACTTTTGTGGCCCACACTCACTAGTCACTACGTTTTCCTGGAAAAGAATGTGATCTGGCAGAAAACGACCATGTTCTTTCTGCAAGGCATTGGTTTTCGCAGTTCACTGTACACTGATAGATAAGGACAAAACATTCCAGTTTTCTGAAATTGACGAGCCACAATGTTAATCAAACGTTTTACAAAATGCATACATATTTTTCCTACACTTTGTCACGGCTCACCGGATTTTATTTATTTATTTAATAATTTCATTCCTTTTTCATAGATCAGCAAACAATTGACAGTGATCTCCACCTGTGTATTAATAAAAATGGGTGAACCCCTAATGTTATGTTCAGAAATTTAATTCAGATTAATTTTATTTGTATGTGTGTACCTTTTAATTGATACCAATTAAAGGCGCATGATTCTATACAAGCTTGATCATGATACACAAGCATTTTCGTCTCCAAACTTTAGTTATTTCATTGAAGAGAGAATTAACATGTAAGAACTATTCTTGCATGTTTAAGTTTTTTTAAGTTTACATGGAATTTAAAACTTAAATTAAGAATTAAAAAAATCTTTTAAACCTTAAAGCGATATTGTATATTAATTATATATTTATGAGTCTTTAAAGTTTTTTTGACCATGTTTCTTGGAGAAATTAATCAACTAGAATTCGAGATAGTTATTTGAAATCTTAGTGAGTAATTGAATTAATTTATCTTGTGTTTGCTTTTGGTGAAAAAATATTAATGGGAGTGGAGGGTTTATTTAAACAAGTGGATGATTAACTAACTAAATAAATAAATAAATATATATATATATATATATATATATATATATATATAGAGGATTATAATAACGTCGATGTAACTTTTACTAAGTATTATACCGTTCAATAATTTTATATTAAATGTAAATTTTATAAATTTCATTAAATTGAAAGTTTATATCATTTTATATGTTTATATCAAATTTTGTTAAATTTGAATAACAACTTAATTGAAGGTAATCAAAGTGTTCATATATTTTAGTATATTTTAAAATAAATATATCACATCAATTTTGTTTTATAAGAATGAAGTATCAAATCATCTTAAATTAATATAAAATTTTATATATATGATCTAAGAGTAAAGAACTTTCAATTTAACTGCTGGATTTACAAAATTCACATTTAATATAAAGTTATTGAACGATGTAATACTTAATAACAGTTATATCAGTATTATTATAACCCTCCTATATATATATATAGGAGGGATCCTTTTACTTCAAGAGTAAGTCTACATAGATTTACTCTATTCAATAACTCATGTTTCGCATCAAATTTTAACGATTCAACCGTTCAATTTAAAGTTCTTAATGCATAGATCAAATCACCAAATTTTTAGAAAATTTGAAAATCATTGGATACTTCATTTCATTAATTTAAAATTTGTATATTTGATCTATGAATTAAGAAAAATGGTTGGATCGTTAAAATTTGATGCGAAACATAAGTTATTGAACGGAATAAATTTAAGTAGACTTACTTATGGAGTAAAAAGATCCCTCCTCATATATATATATATATATA